GGAAAGAGATGAAAGAGAGGTGTCAGAGGCATAGCCTGAGCCCAATCTACCTGATTCTAAGCCCAGAGATCTTTCCAGTGTAAGCTTTGTGGCCTGGATTTGGGGGTTAGTTCAACCCTTGTGGGACTGAGGCTTGCTTTTGGGACTGGGGGGTAGTATTTGCCCCTTCCCAGAGGTGATGTACAAATATTTAACATGCCAACCAATCAGAGCCAGCCTGGAGGACCCCCGCTGCCCAGGGCACATTCTCTTTACTGTTTAGTTGGTGGGTCTGGGAAGGCTGGAGTGTCCTGGGCTGCTTGGGGACACTAAAGGGGGATTCAGGGCAGTGGCTATTTACCAATAGGACACGTGTGTTTCACTGTTGTCACAGCCAGGACTGCTGTGCCTGTGCTTTTTTCTGAACATGAGCCCTGCCCTTTCTAAGCTCTGGTTCCGCCACTTCCCCGCAGGGCGGGGAGAAGAGCTTCAAGGAGGACAGCGCCACCTGGTGAAGCAAAGCCTGCATGGCGCTCGGCTTGGCGCTGAGCGGGTGGGGCGGGGCAGCCAAGGGGCCCGCCAAGAGCACTGGTGCAGGAGCAGTTTCCTCCTATGCCGGCCTGTCTTCCCAGTCCCCAACCCTTAGATCCCAGAATGCCCCATCCCTCAGCCAGCTGGGTTTGATCATTTTTCCAGCCCACTCCCCACTCCCCCCAACTCCATCAGAGCTCAGGGGCTGGGAGGGGGGCAGGAGGGAGCCCAGGAGCCGCAGCTGCCTATGATGGAGGGCACCTGCTCAGGAGCACCTGGGTGTACCTGCAGGGATGCAGCCTGGTGCCCAAAGGGAGAAGGTGTGAACGTGGGGGTGGGGAAGGTAGCAGATCTCTGGGTCCACAGCCCAGTAGCACCAACAGAGAGAGAGTCACCCTGTGGGCCCTCTGTCTGTCCCTCCTTGCTGCCCTCACCAGGCTCTTCTAGGGACTAGGGGCTTTTCTGGAGGTGCCTTCTCTGGGGAGGCCAACAGTTGCCAGGAGACAGACAGCCTGGAGTGCCTGGGCCTTTTGCTGTGACCGGAGCCTGAACCTCCTCCCTGGGGTCCCTGGGAGAACTCTGATGCCTCCACCCCGCCAGGGCTTTGGCCCCTCCTCCAAGGCCCTGTGATGTAACCCAAGGGGCCCAGGACTAGGTTTGGGGATGTAGCCCAAGGGACTGTGGCTCTGTCACTAACTGCCTGTGGGCTTGTTTCTCCTTAGCCCTATAACCACTAGAGTTGAGGGTGGGGGGACAGAACCCCAGCTGGGCTCCACTCCCCCATCCATCAACTCTCCCTGCCCATCTTCCAGCCAGGGTCCCCACGGTTTAGATGAGTGTGCTGTGAGGTCAGACACACTGTGTGACCTCAGGCCAGTAACAGCACCTCTCTGAGCCTCAGTCTCCCCATCTATGAAATGGGAACAAAGTTGCACCCACCTCACAAGGGGCTGTTGCTAAGATTAAATGAGACAAAAGAAATAAAGGGCTCAATCTTGGGCCGAGTCGGCTCTTGTTATCATCCAAGCTACCTCCGCAACCACAGCACATTTACCCACCTCTCAAGCCCCTTCATTTTGAGTTGTCACGCAGGTTCTTCCCAAAGGCCTGCCCTCCTGGTTCCTACACCAGCCCCTCCCCACTCTTATCCTTTTCCCACCCTCTGGGTCCCTCTTTAATCTTTTTTTTTTTTTTTAATTTATTTATCTATTTATTTTTGGCTGCATCGGGTCCTCGTTGCTGTGCGTGGGCTTTCTCTAGTTGCGGTGCACGGGCTTCTCGTCGCAGTGGCTTCTCTTGTTGCAGAGCACGGGCTCTAGGCGTGTGGACTTCAGTAGTTGTGGCTCACAGGCCCTAGAACACAGGCTCAGTAGTTGTGGCGCACGGGCTTAGTTGCTCTGCGGCACGTGGGATCTTCCTGGACCAGGGCTCGAACCCGTGACCCCTGCATTGGCAGGTGGATTCTTAACCACTGTACCACCAGGGAAGTCCCAGTCTCTTTTTTTAAAATCGCCTTTGTCCTGCTCTCTTTTCCTCCTCACTCCCCCACCCGTTGGAGGGAGGGCCTTATTCAGTCATTTCAGCCCCAAGAGTGGGTGCTCCAGGCCAGCCTGGAGTTATTTTTATCCCCTGAATCAATACCCAAGAGGCTGCGGGCCCACACTTGTCTGAGAAGGGTGGTGGGGGGCTGAAGGATCTCCGTTCCTGCCTCTTCCACTTTCTTGGGATCCTGGCCTGTGTCCTGAGTGGAAGGACCCAGGTCTTCAGAATTAGGGCTAAGCAAAAAGAAATTAGAGGAAGAGCTACAGGGTCTTAGGGTTCACTCGTGTCAATTTTCCTTTAATGTTATTACTGCAGTGAAAAAGTAGCATCAGGCAGGGGTGAGATGGTGTGGGTCATCCCTGCCCCCTGGCCTGGCCTCTGCTGCCTGCCAGGCTTTGGGGGAGATTGCAGGGAGCCTGGTCTTGGCAAATGGCAACTGAACCTGTATATGGAGCTGAAAGTTAGGACTGCCGGCTTCTCGTGCCATAGAGTGAGAAGCCAGGCAGGTCACTTGAACCTTCTGGGCCTCAGTTTCCCCCTGGGGAATGGGGAGTCTTCCATGAGCAGGGGATGGAAAGGAGGTAGAAATCTGAGCATGTTGAGAGAATGGGCAGAAAGCAACAGAGGCATCACAACTGGAAGTGTGGAGCTCTGGGTTCTAATCCTGGCTCTGACACTAACATTGTGACTCTCTCTCTGGGCCTCAGTTTACCTATTTGTACAATGAAGAGGTTGGGCTGTTCCAGCTGAGACATTGAACGAATCATTGGCTCTAAAGCCTGCACTTGAAGACTCTGCCTGGGTGAGCATTTGGGCCAGAGCCCAGCCTCTGAGAAGGCTACACAGCTGAGGCTTGAGGTGCAAGAGCGGAGGTCAGGCATGCGATTTACATCATCCTTGGCACCTCCCTCTGTCCTGCTTACAAATCCAATTGGTTGCCAGATCCCTTCCTTCAATCTGCCTCCCACTGGTCCTCCCCTTTCCATCCCCCTTCATCTCTCCCCTGGACCTATCACTAGTCTCCTTGCCTCCTTCTCCCACCAATTCATCTGCCATACAACTGCTGGATTGAGTTTCTTTTTATTTTTTTTTTTAAGTTATATTTATTTTTGGCTGTGTTGGGTCTTCGTTGCTGTGTGCTGGCTTTCTCTAGTTGCAGAGAGTGGGGGCTACTCTTCGTTGTGGTGCACGGGCTTCTCACTGCGGTGGCTTCTCTTGTTGCAGAGCACGGGCTCTAGGTGCGTGGGCTTCAGTAGTTGTGGCATGTGGGCTCACTAGCTGTGGCTCACGGGCTCTAGAGCGCAGGCTCAGTAGTTGTGGCGCACAGGCTTAGTTGCTCCGTGGCACTTGGGATCTTCTTGGACCAGGGCTCGAACCCATGTCCCCTGCATTGGCAGGTGGATTTTTAACCACTGCGCCACCAGGGAAGTCCTTGGCAGGCAGATTCTTAACCGCTGTGCCACCAGGGAAGTCCCCCGGATTGAGTTTCTTAATGTAGCATGATTCTGCTCAAAAATCTTCAGTGGCTCCCTACTACCCAGGAGGACTTCTTAGCTGTCCTGATATTGGTCACAGTCTTCCATGATCTGTCTGCAACCGTTATTTCCCGGCAGCTTTAAGCACAGCGTTATCCAGTCAAATGGAGCTTTTCATGAGCTTTTGGTTTCCTACCTTCTGGGTGTGGCCATGCTGTTCCTTTCATTTGGAAAAAGCTTTCTCCACCCTCGTTGCCCCGTACTATCTCAGCATGTCTAAATCTTACTCAGCTCTCAGGGAGAGGAAGTGCTCCCTGCTCTGGGGAGCGTGGGATGCCTGGTCTCCTCCTCCAACACCCACGCCTCAAGCTGGACGTGGTCCTGCCCGTGAACTCCTGTCAGCCCTCTTCATTTTTTGTGTACCTTTAGATTACCTGTTGGTGTGTGTGTGTGTGTCTCCCCAACTAGACTGAGGGCTTCTTAGGGCTGGGAGGTGCTTGATGAACATTTTGTATCTCACTTCCCTAAGATTCAGTTTCCTCACCGAGAAAAAGGGGTGATCGAACACCTGCCTGGCAGGATTGTTAAGAGGCTTAGAGAGGCTCACGGTGGACACCCCATCAGGGACAGTGCTTATGATGATGACAGTCGCCCCCCGCCATCCCTCCAGGCCTCACCTGAGCAGCGTTTCTGCAGCCTCAGGATTTCCAGGTGCAGGTCTCGCAGCAGGGCCATCTGTTCTTTTTTCAGGAAGCTGATGTGGCGTTGCACGCTCTGGATCTGATGCTCCAGGGACACGGTATCCATGGCAACCCAGGCCTGGGCCCCACCTGGGGAGGATGACAAGGTGAACCCACATCTTCTGGGCCCATCCACCCTGCCAACCTTCAGGTCCTTTCAATTGTCTCCTTCAGTCTGGGGTCCTGTTGTACCAGGCAGATGATTCTGCCACTGGAGTCATTTGTATTTACTCACTGAAGCTTCATAAACAAGCGGTGTGTTGGCAGGAAGTATAATTATTCCCATTTAACAGATGAAGAACCAGAGGCTCAGAGGGAAATGGCTTTACTCCCTTGCCCCCATGTAACTTTAGCCTCTTCTGTATCTCTGAGAGGAAAACAAATGGGGCAGCAAAGTCAGTAAAGAGAGACAGACATTTGGGTTCTAGTCTGCTTCTGCACAAGCTGTGTGACTTTGGGCAAGCCCTCTCCCTCTCTAGGCTCTCAGTTTTCTCCTGGGTAAAATTAGGGAATTGTGGAGAGGATGAATGCTGAAGCCTCTCCAGCTCTGCCATCCCTCAAGCATCCCAGCTCAAGGGTGACCATCAATTGGCAGGGCAGTGTGATGGTTAGAGCACAACCCTCCGCCAATTCAATGCCATTTCTCTGATTTAACCTCAGCCCAGGGCTCTGGGCTCTTCCATGTCACAGAAGAGGAAGATCTGATGAATGTTTTATTAATACTGATCCTGTGGGCTGAAGGCAGGTGGTGGAGTCCCTTTTTCCAAGAGGAATGGGGGAGGGTCATATGGAGACATAAGCAGTAGATCCACGGTAGAAGCTTATGACACTGTGATGGCAGAGGGAGGCTTGCATCCCTGAGTCTTAGTGATGGCCTGGCTTTTCAGCGCTCTCTCTTCTGACCCTGCCCCTTTCCCAGTGAGTCTCTTCTGTGACGATCAGCATCTTGGAAAAGCAGGAGGCAGAGGGCAGCGGAAGCCGAGACCTCTGGAGTCCAGGACTCAGAGCTCATGCCTTCTCTGCCAGGGACTCCCAAAGCTTGTGATGGCCCTTCCTCCACCTGCCCTAGGAATTCCCTGGCCAGAGGAGAGGAAAACCAGCTGATGGATTGTTCTGTTTAGCAATGGTCCCCTTGAAACAGGCTTTCTGGTAAGCCTCTGCAAAGCAAGATTTTCATTTGTAGGGTCACATCCAGCAGGTGCACCTGAGAACCTCACATTCATAGTTTCCTCTCTTGGGGCCCCCCTTCCCTTGTACCTGTATGGCCTCCCTAATCCAACCAAATGGACTTTCACTTCAGCGGTGGTGGTGGGGGGGTGGCCCTTTGGCCTCTGGGAATCACTGGTTACATTTACTGACCATCTGCTATATTTAGGGAACTTTATGCACATTATCTTACTTCTGCCAACCACTCTTCAGTAGGTATCACCACCTCCATTTCACAAACAAAGAAACAGACTCAGAGCTGAAGTGACTTGTGCCAGTTCACGTGGTCAGTAAGTGGCAGCAGATCCAATTCTCCAACCAAGTCTTTTGAATCCAAAGAAGTTTCCCAGTATTTACACTGAAAACAGTCCTGGGTTTGAATCCTAGGTTTTTCGGTTCCCTGCTGTGTGACTTTGGGCAAGAAAGTTAACCTCTCTAAACCTTGCTTCCCCTCTCTGTAAAATGAGGCTACTAACAGTAGCAGCCCTAGGATAGTTGTGAGGGTTAAATGAAATTAGAAATTGCAGAGCATTTAGCATAGAACCTGGCTCAATCAATGCCTCATCCCTTCTCCTCCCTGTTTAATGTCTGAGTAGGTTAATCCCTGCCCTGATTTGCCCATTTGTTCATCATTCATTCATTCAATGATCTACTATTACCAACCGCTGTGCTGGGTACAGGGCTATAGTGATGAACAAAACAGTATTCCTGCTTTCTGCTCTCATGGAGCTCACAGGGCCAAGAGAAGAGAATCAAACAAATAAACAGGTACATCAAACAAACAAATAATACAAATAAATTTACAGTTACAATCTATAAGTGCTGTGAAAGGAACCTGCAGGGTAACGTTGAAAGAATATAAAGTGGGACCTAGTTTAGATCTGGGGTCAAGGAAGGTATCTTTGTGGAAATGATTTTAGGCTGAGGCACTTCCCTGGTGGCGCAGTGGATAAGTATCCGCGCTCCCAATGCAGGGGGCCCGGGTTTGATCCCTGGTTAGGAAACTAGATCCCACATTCATGCCGCAACTAAGAGTTCACGTGCCACAGCTAAGGAGCCCGTGTGCCGCAAATAAGGAGCCCATGAGCTGCAACTAAGGAGCCCACGTGCTGCAATGAAGACCTGGTGCAACCAAATACATATTTAAAAATAAAAAGAAATGATTTTAGGCTGAGACCTTGTGGTAGGCAGAATTCCAAGGTGGTCCCCAAGATTCCCAGCCCCTGATATATATACCCTCTAACATTATCCCCTCCCCTTGGGTGTGGGTGGGATTGTGAATATGATAGACTGCATTCCTCTGATTAGGTTATATGACAAAGGTGAAGGATTTTACAGATGTAATTAAGGTCTCCAATCAGTTGACTTTGAGTTAAAAACAAAAGGAAGATTATTCTGGCTGGGCCAGGTTCTAAGGGCCCTTGCTATAGGAAGAGATCTGAAGCGTGAGAGAAATTTAGCTTCTGGCCTAGAAGGGGTAAACTGCCATGCTGTGAGACAGCCTGTGCAGGAAGCCATAGGCAAGAACCTGAGGGAGGGCTCTAGTAGCTGAGAATGGTCCCTGATTGACAGCTAGCAAGAAAATGGGGACTCCAGTCCTACAGCTGCAGGGAAGTAAATACTGCCAACAACCTAAGGTATCTTGGAAACGGATCTTTCCC